GTGGCTCCTCGGGCTTCAGTTCGAACTGATCGGACTCCGCCAGAAGGCACTATAGTGTCTTCGGCTCTGGCCACCGCCCGGGCTCGGGTCTTAGAGAAGAATTCTTCCTCTACCCGCACCCCAGAGTTTGCCGGTCTGCAGCTCGGTGTTGGTGATTTGTCAGAGGCTTCTACCGCTGACTACGCCACAAATGACGGGCAAATGGCCCCTCAACCAGCACAGCTGGAGTCGAGAGAGCTGGTTGCCTGGCCCGGCAAATCGGTGGACCAGGTGGTGCTCGAGGTTAGAGAGCACCACAGGATGGAGAGGATGTTGCGACTTTCCATCCAAGTTCTGTCGTATATAGACTTCCTGACAGTGAGTCTATACAAGGTATCTGACTTGCCTGAGGGTCGGGTACCAGAGACAGAACAGGCCGACATTCAGGACAGACTCACAGCTGCCTTGAACGCGGCGTTGAGGGCTTCGGCGGCCTTACAGGTCTCCCTGCTCGCCAACGTCGTGTTGGCTAGGCGATTTTCAGTCTTGAAGAATCGCCAAGTCGAGGAACCTTATCTTTCCCGCCTGTTGACTGCCCCCTTCTCTGGCTCTACCCTGTTCGGGGGAGCTCTCCCTTCTGTTCAGAAGGATATGAAGGAGGACTCGGTCGCCTCAGCACTTTTGGTGAGGAGGTTTCGTTCCGAGAAGGCCAGCGCCTCGCAGGGGTCAGCGCCTCCCAAGAAGAAGGCGAAGTTTTCGGCTGGGCAGGCTTCTGCTCAACCCAAATCACAGCCATGCTTCAAGGGCAATAAAGGTAAGAAGGGTAAGAAATCTCCTGGGGCAAGAAGAAGGGCTCCTGACTCTTTCTTATCCTTGGCCGAGACAGAACAGGGGTCTGGCGGGGTGGACGGCGGTCATCCCTTTCAGGTCTCTTGTCCTTCTCCCGCAGGCTCAGGCTCCGGATGGGTGGACGATTCGCTGGTTTGGCAGGGACTCGATCTGCCCCATCCGGAACTTTCTGTGGGCGGGCGTCTCTCCGCTTTCCTACCCCAATGGCAGGAAATTACGGAGGACGCGTGGGGGTTGTCGGTGGTCAAGGAGGGTCTAGGTATCCCCCTTCTTCGGGATCCGCCTCTTACCGCCCAGCCGATCTTCTTTCCTCCTCCGGGGGATTTGAAGAAGGCTCGGGCGATCCAGGAGGAAGTAAGGACCATACTTGCAAAGGGCGCGGTAGAAGAGATTCCTATGTCGGAAATCACTCCCGGTTTCTATTCCCGAATGTTTCTCGTTCGAAAGAAGTCCGGAGCGTGGCGTCCGATCATAGATCTCAGTGCCTTCAACAGGCACGTAGATTCTCCTCACTTCAAGATGGAGACCCCACGGGGCATCATGGCCTCCGTGAGGGACGGGATGTGGGCAACTTCGGTAGATCTGAAGGATGCCTATTTCCATATTCCCATCAAGAAGTCTGCACGGAAGTTCCTCCAGTTCACGTGCAACAGCAAGGTCTTCCAATTCCAGGCCATGCCCTTCGGGCTGATGACAGCTCCTTTGGTATTCACCAAGCTGCTGCAGGTAGTCATGGGATTCCTTCACTCTCGCGGAATAGACGTCCACATCTATTTCGACGACTCCCTCATGCTTCACAGTGTGAGGGAATCGAATGTAAAGGATACCCGGCTGGTCATGAAAGTCTTGCTCAGAGTCGGCTTCATTCCTTCCAGAGAGAAGTCAGAGGTTTCCCCATCTCAGGACTTCGTCTTCCTGGGGAACCGTTTCGATACGGTTCTGGGCGTAGCCCTACCACCGGTGGAGAAGTTCGAGAAGGCCAGGGCTCTAGCTCTGTCCTTCATCGAACGGTCGCAGGTCCAGGTGCGTTGGTTCCTCAGTTTTCTGGGGTATCTCAACGCCCTGGCAGATGTGGTCCCCCTCGGGAGGCTTCACATCAGACCTCTCCAGATGTTCCTCCTGTCCAACTGGGTTCCGTCATCCAGGAAGTGGGAGGACTGGATAACTCTCACTCAGTTGGTCAGGGAGTTCGCTTGCTGGTGGACCATTCAGGAAAACGTTCTCCGCAGGGTACCTCTGACCAAGCCTGTCCCCTCGATGACCCTGTTCACGGATGCTTCCATGACAGGATGGGGAGCTTACCTCGACGGCCATTGCCGCTCGGGGGAGTGGTCTGGGGATCAGCTCTCGGAGCACATCAATGTGCTCAGGATGAGGGCAGTTCTTTTGGCACTGCAATCCTTTCGGGTGTTTCTGCAGTCCAAGGCGATTTGTGTGGCTACCGACAACTCTACAGTTGTCGTGTATCTGGAGAGACAAGGGGGCACCATGTCTCACGTCCTGTGTGCCCTCTCCATCCGCATCCTCTGTCAGTAGATGCAATTGTCCATTGTGGTCAAGCATCTTCCGGGCAGGCTGAATGTGTTGGCGGATACCCTCTCCAGGTGCCGCCAACCGGTGTTGACGGAATGGCAGCTGTGTCCCTCGGTGTTCCGGGGAATTTGTCAGGTGTGGGACAGGCCTTTGATAGATCTGTTTACCACTTCTCTGAACAATCAGCTGCCAACCTTCGTCTCTCCGGTTCCAGATCCGAAGGCTTGGACTGTGGACGCCCTTTCTCTGGACTGGGACGGGATGCATGCCTATGCATTCAGAAGTTCAGGGAGCATCACTGCTCCTTACTTCTGATAGCCCCCCTGTGGCCGAGGCAGCCTTGGATTCCGGAGCTCTTGTCGTTTCTGGTGGAAGAGCCCCTGGCTCTACCCACCAGACGAATCTCCTTCGCCAGCCTTGGTCCAGTACGACACACTCTCGACCAGAGATCCTCCACCTTCACGTGTGGAGGCTATTTCTGGATAGACCCAGAGTTCGGCAGCTGGCCCCGCAGTGGAATTAAGCCTTGGTGCTAGATTCCCTGACGAGGTCACCTTATGAGCCTATGGAGTCTGCTTCTTTGAAGTTTCTGACTTTCAGTCTTCCTTTTGGCTCTGGCCTCTGGACGTAGGAGGAGCGAAGTGCATGCCTTGTTGTCACTTCCTTCTTGCCTTCGTTGGTCCAGAGGCTACGCTGCCGTTACTCGTCTTACTGTTCCTTCGTTCCTTGTGAAGAATCAGGTCCCGGGTTCTCGCCCGATCCCATCAAGATTCCGGCTTTGACTAGCTCGGAGGAGAGGGATAGATTGCTTTGTCCCTGTAGGGCTCTTAGGTTTTATCTTGATCCCGTCTGTTTTTGCCTATCAAACAGGGACAGCGAGACATCTCCTCCCAGTCGGTGTCTAGGTGGGTATGCCAGGTCATTAAGTATGCTTATGAGCACTCGGATGACCAGGCTCGGGCGAGGGTGAGAGTGCAGGCTCATGAGGTAAGGGCCCTCGCTCCATCCTGGGCCCTCCTTAATGGGTCCTCCTTTCAGGAGGTCATGTCTGCTGCCTTCTGGCGTGGCAGGGATATGTTCACAGATTTTTATCTGCGATCCCTAGCTTTCCACTCAAAAGGTTTGTATTCTTTGGGGCCTCTGGTGGTTGCACAGTCTGTGCCCCCCCCCGTTAGCCCCAGGGCTTGTCTTTTCCGTTCTGCGGCATGTGGGTTACCTGCTCGTTCACAGGGAGGTTCCCCTCCTTCTTCTATGCACTCTGTCCCCCCTCCCTACCATGTTCAGTTGTGCTAGATGGGCTGCCTGGCTGCTAGTCACCACTACGGTAAGACAAATTCGCATACTAAAGTTATGGTAATTATTACTGAAATGAAATTGAGGTTTTTTAATGTAAAACCAATTTTCATGAGGAGTCCCACCCTATCCTCCCCTCTTCCTATCTGCCTGGCTGCCCCTCTGCGGGTGCCCCATCAAGGCTAAGAGGAAGGGAGATAACTCTATGTTCATGACGTGAAGGCTCATGGTCGCAGGGAGGGCAGGATTTTTGAATCTTTTGTTTTTGGGATACAAAGATGGGTGTAGGTATCATATTTGCATACTAAAGTTATGGTAAGTATTACCTCATGAAAATTGGTTTTACATTAAAAAAACCTCAAATTGTGTGCCATGACTGTCGTGTTTTCTACCGTTGTAGCGCGACTGGTGATCCGTAGCAGTGAAAGTCACGTGAGCAGAGGCCATGATGATGTTCTATCAGGCCGTCACTGTAATGCTACGACACTATTTAAACAGGTACATGATATATACAGACTGTAGTAATGTTTAGATTATTTGTAGTTACATTTTAATCCTTGGTTGGGTGTTAAAAGCTTTATTTAATCTGCATTGTTTAGTGTGCGGTCCAATTATAGAAATCGGTAAACATCGTACAACGTTCAGTCATACTTTCAAATACAAATCTGTATAATAGGTTTTTAGAGGGTATTTAGACTATATATTGTACATATTTAACTTCAATGCTAATACCAGGAACAGACAGCCAGACAACACCTTCGGTAGATTAGGTCAAGTTTAATGGTTGACATGTTTCGACACACTAGGTGTGTCGTCCTCAGAACAGAGTAAATTCAAAATACAGGACTATATATATCATCTAAGCATAGCAACTACACATGTTATTTATATGACATCATAGATAGTACACTGGTTACAATGACGTGGAAAGTTAATGACGTCATAATACTAGAGAATTGGTATGGGCGGAACACCGCAATATAGTAACAAGTTACTGCTGAATAATGTACAAATTTGATTCTTAGTAGAGTTATTAATACATAAGGACTACAGATGATATATCCGATATGTATGATAATCTAAGCCGCGTAATATTGTAGATGAAGATTTATGTACAATTTGTACACTATCGGTAAGTAATAAAAGGCTGTTCTATGTGAATGTTCGCTGAGTTACAGTTCCAATGCTTGCAAAAATAAATCCAATGAAAACACAATGTGTGTGTATATACACCTATATACATATCAAGTCGCAAGATTGGTCACTAGTATGACAATGAATGTTACATAGTAGATTCACAGTGATAATAATAGTTTACATCCACCGTTATCCAGACGTTATCCAGATTATCCGTGTCTGATATTAAGTCCCTGTGGTTCTGCGGTGTTCAAGTATGTGATAAAGGCTTCTTCTGTACGTAGGCGTGTATTAACATCCCCTGGGGTGATTTGGAGACCGATAATTTTCACATTCTCTGTGTCGTGTTCCGTAGAGGTGAAGTGACGCGAGACTGGTTTGTGCATGTTTTTATTCCTGATATCGGCAAAATGACCATGGAATCGTTCTCTGATGGAGTTACCGGTTTGTCCAATATATTGAGTACCGCATTTCTGACATTGTATCATATAAACTACGCTAGTAGAGTTACAGTTAATACTGTGTCGGATGGTAAACGTTTGTTTGTTTGATTTGCTCGTAACGGAGGAGCAGTTTTCCATGAACGGACACAAATTGCATGGTCGGCGACAAGGTTGACTACCCTTAGTACGGTTTGGTGGATCAATGTCCGCTCTAACTAGAAGATTCCTAATATTGTTGGCTCTCTTGTAAGCTACAGTGATAACCGAGTGGTCCATTTGGGGGCCAATACGGTTGAGGATGCCTCTATGGTTTTTCAGGATTGATCCTATATGTTGACGATGAGGATCGTATTTAGTTATGAATGGAACAATGGTTTTGGCATTTGTATCCGCCTTCCGAAGTAAAGTTAATCTATCGGTGTTCCTCGCTTTAACTGTGGCCGACTCTAAAAGATTCCGTGGATATCCCCGTAGTCGGAAGTGGTCACACATGACTCGGCTATGTTTTTCAAACTCGTCCAACGTAGAACATATACGGCGTACCCTGAGGAGTTGTCCAAACGGGATGTTCCGGATTTGCTGACGAGGGTGGCATGAATGATAGTGAAGGTAAAGATGTGCGTCCGTGGGTTTGGTATACAATGTGGTTTGCAATGTGCCGTCTTCCTCTTTGATTACCGTGGTGTCTAGGAAATTCATACTGGTAGAGCTTACCTCATAGGTGAATTTAATTTTGGGATGAAATCGGCTGAGACTCTCCATGAAGGCACAAAGGTCCTCGCGACGGAAGGTCCAAATAAAGAAAATATCATCGATGAACCTCCACCATACTAGAGGTTTCAGAGGTTGAGATGTTAGAAAATTGGTTTCAAGTTGGTCCATGAATAAAACGGCATAGTTCGGCGCACATTTGGTACCCATGCTAGTGCCTTGAATTTGAAGGTAATGTTGGTTGTTAAATCTAAAACAATTACAAGTCAAGACAAAATGTAGAAACCGCAGGAGGATCCATGTAGGTGGAGAATTATCACCTCTAGTATCCAAAGCGCGTTTGGCCGCAAGAATGCCATCCCTATGTGGAATCGATGTATATAGCGAAGACACGTCCGCAGTTACCAAGAAGCTATGCGCGGGAATCTGTCGGAGATCAAGGATTTTGTTGAGAAAATCTGTAGTGTCTTTCAAGTAAGACTTTACTTCGGAAGCAAGTGGTTTGAGATAAAAGTCGACCGTAGCCGACAATTTTTCTGTAGGTCCGCCTACAGCTGATACTATCGGCCTGCCCGGGTTGCCGGGTTTATGAATTTTAGGCAGGAGATAAAAAAGAGGTGTCCTCGCATCCTTGATGGTATTAAAAGAGACTAAGTCTTTAGCAAGATAAGGTTTAACCCGTTGTAGGAATTTATTGATATCCTTGACTATGTTCTGGGTGAGATCCGTGTCTAATGGTCTATAGTGTTCAGTATTGCAGAGTTGGCGTTCTGCCTCCGTAATGTAGTCAGCGCGATTAAGAATAACGATAGCCCCGCCTTTATCAGCGGGTTTAATGATGATATCTTTATTCTCTCTGAGAGAAATGATAGCTTGGGATTCTTCCGGTTGGAGGTTCGGAAAAACATTAGGCTTAGGAGGGGTGTCGGTAATGAAAAAAGATGTGATGTTAAGGAAAGTATCCAGATCGGCATTGAGGCCACGGTGAGGTGTCCAGCCAGAGGGAGGTTTAAATGGGTTCGGGACAAATGTGTTGTCATGTTGATGATCTTTAAAGAAAACACTTTATCTCAAGTTACAATTGGGAGTGGTTAGATTAAAATTTGATGATGCATGTAAATTAAAATTCAAAATTTGTAATTTTCAATAAAAGTAGAAGTTAGCCCACTGTTTCGCCATCTAAATTATTCATGTATGATTTTATCTGAAAAAACAAAAAAAAAAAGTAATTGGTAATTACTGACAAAAGTTGTTTTGTTATACAAGCTGTTTATTGTACAAGGACAATTACACACATATCTTTGGTTTAAAATGAATGTACAATAGAGACAATACTTTAAAAGTACACATAATTTCAAAATTGATTTAAGAAAAAAAACCTGCTGCAAAATATGATGAGAGAGACTTCCATAACATCCTTAATACACAATATCAGTTGAGACTTAAAAATGTTCATCGATTTGGTACACCATCAAAAGAAATGATTTTTTAATCTAGCCAAACGATTATCATTTTCCTTAATGTTGTAGGGAAACACAAGAGCATAATCTAGTTTTTAGTAATTACAAATTTTACTTGTTTAAAAACAATAATTTAAAATTCTAAAATTATCAAGTATAATTATCATGTGGATATGAAAATTTATTTGAATTTAAACAGTTTTGTAAAACAATCCTGATTGTGACGGTCCAATCTTAGAATTCAGAAGTTTTCATCTGAACTTAATTTTGAAGATTACATACACAATAGATACAGTGTCCTTATACTTAATCCAGAATCTCATTTTTGCCAAAGCTTGAATATTAGGTATATTTCAATGGTTAGAGTGGAAAAGTTGGATTCTATTTTCTAGATAATGGCACAAAATACTTCTTCTGACTTGTATCAATTTACTTTCTATAACTTCAAAAAATTAAACCCTTAAAACTCTGCTCACCCTGTTTGACACAAACAACCAGAGCAGAGTCCTGTAAACCTCTATGATGTACGATGTATTTTAAAAAAGAGTAGATGCATGTTTTGTTATTATGATTTTTTTCTCTCTCTTTGTTCTTCGAAATAGGAATAATCTTTTTCCTGACAGACTACACAAATTGTTTTTTTTTTTGCCTTTGGGTATTCCTCCTTGTCAAGTACCCATTAATCATTCTAATATTTTTCAATTTAAAAAAAAATCTATACATAGATTTTCTTGTTTTTGCTTTTTTTCTGTAGTTTGATTTGTTTGGTTTCTGTTGGCTTTCATTTTCCAATACAAAAATTATTTTATACTCACGAACCTGTAACATTCTTAATTTGTACTATTTTAAACACAAGACAACTTTCTGTCCAAACATAAAAAATTAATACTTTTGAAGCAAAGATTAGACTTCATGTGAACAGACCAAATTATTAGGTCTTCTTTTCTTCTATATTTTTGTAATCTTAAAAATTAGCTGCAAATTTAAATATCTGTACATAACTGTTCATAAAAAAATAATTTCATTGTGATATCATAAATCCATGATACATAAAAACTTGATGAAACAAGATGAAAAATGTTTTTATGGTGAGTATAGTAATAAATGCTGAATCTTACAATAACAAACACAACTATTGATGATGCAATTAATAAATCAAGGTGATGATATTTTTAATGACGTGTTTCTTGTCTCAGAATCCTAACCCCCCGGAGAATTATCCTATTTTTCAGAATCCTAACCCCCTGGAAAATTATCCTATTTTTATAGAATCTTTACCCCCTGGAAAATTATCCTATTTTTATAGAATCTTTACCTCCTGGAGAATTATCCTATTTTGATAGAATCTTTACCTCCTGGAGAATTATCCTATTTTGATAGAATCTTTACCTCCTGGAGAATTATCCTATTTTGATAGAATCTTTACCTCCTGGAGAATTATCCTATTTCTATAGAATCTTTACCTCCTGGAGAATTATCCTATTTCTATAGAATCTTCACCTCCTGGAGAATTATCCTATTTCTATAGAATCTTTACCTCCTGGAGAATTATCCTATTTCTATAGAATCTTTACCTCCTGGAGAATTATCCTATATTGATAGAATCTTTACCTCCTGGAGAATTATCCTATTTTGATAGAATCTTTACCTCCTGGAGAATTATCCTATTTTGATAGAATCTTCACCTCCTGGAGAATTATCCTATTTCTATAGAATCTTTACCTCCTGGAGAATTATCCTATTTTTATAGAATCTTTACCTCCTGGAGAATTATCCTATTTTGATAGAATCTTCACCTCCTGGAGAATTATCCTATTTTGATAGAATCTTTACCTCCTGGAGAATTATCCTATTTTGATAGAATCTTCACCTCCTGGAGAATTATCCTATTTTGATAGAATCTTCACCTCCTGGAGAATTATCCTATTTTTATAGAATCTTTACCTCCTGGAGAATTATCCTATTTATATAGAATCTTTACCTCCTGGAGAATTATCCTATTTTTATAGAATCTTTACCTCCTGGAGAATTATCCTATTTATATAGAATCTTTACCTCCTGGAGAATTATCCTATTTTGATAGAATCTTCACCTCCTGGAGAATTATCCTATTTTGATAGAATCTTTACCTCCTGGAGAATTATCCTATTTTGATAGAATCTTCACCTCCTGGAGAATTATCCTATTTCTATAGAATCTTTACCTCCTGGAGAATTATCCTATTTTGATAGAATCTTTACCTCCTGGAGAATTATCCTATTTTGATAGAATCTTCACCTCCTGGAGAATTATCCTATTTTGATAGAATCTTTACCTCCTGGAGAATTATCCTATTTTCGTAGAATCTTTACCGCCTGGAGAATTATCCTATTTATATAGAATCTTTACCTCCTGGAGAATTATCCTATTTATATAGAATCTTTACCTCCTGGAGAATTATCCTATTTATATAGAATCTTTACCTCCTGGAGAATTATCCTATTTTGATAGAATCTTTACCTCCTGGAGAATTATCCTATTTTGATAGAATCTTTACCTCCTGGAGAATTATCCTATTTTGATAGAATCTTCACCTCCTGGAGAATTATCCTATTTTGATAGAATCTTTACCTCCTGGAGAATTATCCTATTTTGATAGAATCTTTACCTCCTTGAGAAATATCCTATTTTCATAGAATCTTTACCTCCTGGAGAATTATCCTATTTTGATAGAATCTTTACCTCCTGGAGAAATATCCTATTTTCATAGAATCTTTACCTCCTGGAGAATTATCCTATTTATATAGAATCTTTACCTCCTGGAGAATTATCCTATTTTGATAGAATCTTTACCTCCTGGAGAATTATCCTATTTTTCAGAATCCTAACCCCTGGAGAATTATCCTATTTTTCAGAATCCTAACCCCCTGGAGAATTATCCTATTTTGATAGAATCTTTACCTCCTGGAGAATTATCCTATTTTGATAGAATCTTTACCTCCTGGAGAAATATCCTATTTTCATAGAATCTTCACCTCCTGGAGAATTATCCTATTTTGATAGAATCTTCACCTCCTGGAGAATTATCCTATTTTTATAGAATCTCTACCTCCTGGAGAATTATCCTATTTTGATAGAATCTTTACCTCCTGGAGAATTATCCTATTTTTATAGAATCCTAACCCCCTGGAGAATTATCCTATTTTTCAGAATCCTAACCCCCCCGGAGAATTATCCTATTTTTCAGAATCCTAACCCCTTGGAGAATTATCCTATTTTCAGTACCTGTGAAATTTTCAGTAGTTAAGAAGCAAAAAATTATTCATTTGTTTAGATGTACTGAAAAATGAAAACAGACAAATCATTGGAGATATTTAATAATGCTTTGTAGTCATGAAACAAATACAAAAGTAATGAAGGATTAAACCGTTGTAATGGAAATCTTATATATACAGTGTTTATCCGAACCTCTTCAACATAATATATCTTATTATAACATTTTTATATTGATAACGTAAATTAAAATAATTTGTTTTTAATACTCTTCTGTTCTTACCAATACTTGACCCATTGAACAAACAAAACATTACAATAGTTACACATCTATTTACATATACTTGACTATTGATAAACAAAAAGCAACAAAATCTTCAATATAAAAATGGAAACACCATAAAAAACATCATTTCAACAGTAAAGCCCTAAAAATGAAGTATGTGCTTCCATTAACATGATTTTCCATTTGACCATTCTTGACCCTAACCGACTGTCAAGCTTATCACAACAGAGTGAAAGGAAGGGCAGTAACTCTGGGAGATCCAAATGCTTTTGGCAAGCTGTTATTTTTAGTTCAGAAAATGTTAATAACTTCAATAATGAAATAGCTCGGAAAATTTTGCCTCGTAAAATATTTTATTTTCAGTATAAAATCTTATCCCTACTAAACATGGTTCTCCTGAACATTAGATTTGGACAAATACCTCCATGGCGTGTATTACATCTTATAAAATGTTTCTTTGTAACAATATCTCTGCTGATTTTTAGTCTGAAGCAAAAAATAAAAGTATAATTTCAAAGAAATTGTGAATCAAAGCATGGTTTTCTGAAGAAAAGTGATTTCAATTGAGGAATTAATTTTAGGCAATAACATTCGCATTCTTGATCATAGTTGAAAAAAATACCAGAATCCCTTGAAAATCCCCATTTTATCTTTTTGTTTTTCAAACTACAAAAATTAAGCATTGAAGAACATTCAGCTTGGATTGTTAATGTTATATTAACACTCAGATAAAGTCATCTTCTGGGTGATATTTACCTTGTATTGTCTAGTTACCTTGTGTGTTTACAGTTTACTTACAGATACTTGATAATACTCAGATAATGTCATCTTCTGGGTAATATTTACCTTGTATTGTCTAGTTACCTTGTGTGTTTACAGTTTACTTACAGATACTTGATAATACTCAGATAATGTCATCTTCTGGGTAATATTTACCTTGTATTGTCTAGTTACCTTGTGTGTTTACAGTTTACTTACAGATACTTGATAATACTCAGATAATGTCATCTTCTGGGTAATATTTACCTTGTATTGTCTAGTTACCTTGTGTGTTTACAGTTTACTTACAGATACTTGATAATACTCAGATAATGTCATCTTCTGGGTAATATTTACCTTGTATTGTCTAGCTACCTTGTGTGTTTACAGTTTACTTACAGATACTTGATAATACTCAGATAATGTCATCTTCTAGGTAATATTTACCTTGTATTGTCTAGTTACCTTGTGTGTTTACAGTTTACTTACAGATACTTGATAATACTCAGATAATGTCATCTTCTGGGTAATATTTACCTTGTATTGTCTAGTTACCTTGTGTGTTTACAGTTTACTTACAGATACTTGATAATACTCAGATAATGTCATCTTCTGGGTAATATTTACCCTGAGTTGATAACAATTTAAACTACTCTACACATGTTGTAGGATTTAATTATATTTAATCAATAATCAATGAAACAGTTTATCATCTTTACTTTCATCCTTCTCTCTTGTTCTCCTTAAAGTTTAAGATTTTCCTAAATTCTACAACATAACTTGTACCACATTTCTGCAAATAAAATTGTTTACTTTTAAATTTGAAGAATATTTTCCACTGTCTTCTGTTTGTTAAGAATATTTGTTCAAATTACTCCCATGAAAATCAAACAAACTCAACGTAATAAAGCCCTGAATCTGTACACTAACAGAAGTGTGACAAATGACTTGTTAAATGTCGTAATGATATCAGTAAAATTGACATTCACAACATTAAATAAAAAAGCTTACGCACTGAATCTCATAATTGTGAACTCTATGAAAATTTATACACAGCACAATGTATGTGTTACATTTATTCGTTGTTTCCATAGTGAATTTTACATCACCCTCAGGTGATAGATATAATGCATATATCCTATACTAGGGCTGGGGGTACACTCTTTGTTATGAGGGTGTAGGGCTGGGGGTACACCCTTTGTTATAAGGGTGGAGGGCTGGGGGTACACCCTTTGTTAAAAGGGTGGAGGGCTGGGGGTACACCCTTTTTATTAAGGGTGTAGTGCTGGGGGTACACCCTTTGTTATAAGGGTGGAGGGCTGGGGGTACACCCTTTATTATGAGGGTGGAGGGCTGGGGTACACTCTTTGTTATAAGGGTGGAGGGCTGGGGGTACACCCTTTGTTATGAGGATGGAGGGCTAAGGGTACACCCTTTGTTATGAGGGTGGAGGGCTGGGGGTACACCCTTTGTTATGAGGGTGGAGGGCTGGGGGTACACCCTTTGTTATGAGGGTGGAGGGCTGGGGGTACACCCTTTGTTATGAGGGTGGAGGGCTGGGGGTACACCCTTTGTTATGAGGGTGGAGGACTGGGGTTACACTCTTTGTTATAAGGGTGGAGGGCTGGGGGTACACCCTTTATTATGAGGGTGGAGGGCTGGGGGTACACCCTTTGTTATAAGGGTGGAGGGCTGGGGGTACACCCTTTATTATAAGGGTGGAGGGCTTGGGGTACACCCTTTGTTATCAGGGTGGAGGGCTGGAGGTACACTCTTTGTTATAAGGGTGGAGGGCTGGGGGTACACTCTTTGTTATGAGGGTGGAGGGCTGGGGGTACACCCTTTGTTATGAGGGTGGAGGGCTGGGGGTACACCCTTTGTTATGAGGGTGGAGTGCTGGGGGTACACCCTTTGTTATGAGGGTGGAGGGCTAAGGGTACACCCTTTGTTATGAGGGTGGAGGGCTAGGGGTACACTCTTTGTTATGAGGGTGGATGGCTGGGGGTACACCCTTTGTTATGAGGGTGGAGGGCTGGGGATACACCCTTTGTTATGAGGGTGGAGCTGGGGGTACACCCTTTATTATGAGGGTGGAGGGCTGGGGGTACACCCTTTGTTATAAGGGTGGAGGGTTGGAGGTACACCCTTTATTATGAGGGTGGAGGGCTGGGGGTACACCCTTTGTTATAAGGGTGGAGGGTTGGAGGTACACCCTTTGTTATTAGGGTGGAGGGCTGGGGGTACACTCTTTGTTATTAGGGTGGAGGGCTGGGGGTACACTCTTTGTTATTAGGGTGGAGGGCTGAGGGCTAGACAATTTCTGCATAAAAAACCTCTTCTGTATAAAACAGTGATTCCTTGAATACCTACCAACATTGACACTCCTCAGCAAAAAATGATACACAGGTGTACATCTACCTTTCGTTTGTAATGATCATGAATCCACACAGAGCAAATTGAATTATCTCCCATGCTGGCAGATATGAATGTACAAATTGCATTTTCATGATTAGAAAAAATCGTAATATGAGAGATAAAACTGATGAAAATTGGTCCAACTGGTTACCAATACCTTTTAAAAGTTCTGGGGAATATAAGCCAAGTAAGTGGTACAAGGTGAGTGACCAACCCTACCTACTACACAAGTAAACATGTATATAAACCTCACTACAGTAACTACTGTAAATGAACGTGGCTACATTACATATATATATATAACTTAAAGACCAAGAATTAAGATAGGTGAATCATTTGCAAAGTGGAATGATAAAATCTGAAAAATCTTTCCAAGATATTTAGATTATGAACTTAAAAGTAGGTAGACAAAGTATTGACATTAGCTAAATGGATTAAAATAGGTTAAATTATCTATTCCCTAAAACCCTAATCAATTAATGAAAGTCAATGACAAGATGTCATCCAACCAAAAACAAAATCAAGTGCCGACAAAATAACAAAAAACCATGGGAATTGATCAGCATATCAAAACAGTTTTACAGTAATGTACAAACATTGAGATCTGATAGAAGTTTTCATAACACAACCGTGTAGTCACTGAAACGTCACACTCTAATCTTCTACTGGTTGTGTTATGAGATGAATGTGACCGTGTAGTCACTGAAACGTCACACTCTAATCTTCTACTGGTTATGTTATGAGATGAAGGTGACCGTGTTGTCACTAAAACGTCACACTCTAATCTTCTACTGGTTGTGTTATGAGATGAATGTGACCGTGTAGTCACTGAAACGTCACACTCTAATCTTCTACTGGTTGTGTTATGAGATGAATGTGACCGTGTAGTCATTGAAACGTCACACTCTAATCTTCTAGTGGTTGTGTTATCACATGAATGTGACCGTGTAGTCATTGAAACGTAACACTCTCTTCTTCTACCTGTTATGTTATAAGATGAAGGTGACCATGTAGTCATCAAAACTTCACATTCTAATCTTCTAGTGGTTGTGTTATAAGATGAAGTTGACCGTGTAGTCATCAACACTTCACACTCTAATCTTCCAATGGTTGTGTTATGAAAACTTCTATTCTACTGACATTAACAACCCGAAGAAAAATATTTCCCCTAAAAGATTGAGATGAAATAATACAAAATGTGATAAAAAAGAGAAATGTTCAAGAATATGACTGTATGCTGCATTTCTCATACATTGACAATTATACTGTAAGAAACTTGAAGGGTGAAGATCTCAATTCAGAATTTCCTATTGAGTCTGAAATAAGTTTGCTGGCAGCATTTAACAATAAGTGTCCTGAGCATCAAGTAGTATCAATGCGGATCATGCGGAGTTTGAAATTGTCTGCTAGGACGCAAGCTGCCTCATTAGATCCTCCACAGTAGTGAGACGAGGAAAACACAGTGAGCAGTCTCCCTTTCTGCTGAACCTGTTATTGAACAAATCACTTATTCAGGATTTCTTTTAAGGGCAAGACAAAACATCTGGACTGAAGAGGTATAAACTGTTATCATTCTTATTTTGGTGAGTTCAAGTTTTTGCACATTATTGAAAATTGAAAACTTTTTATATCATTTGCAACAAATCTAGCATATTCAAAGATTTAAATATTTCCATTCATCAAAGAATTTAGCAATCCTTCAAAGTTCAAAAGACAAAACCAAAGGAACCTCATGAAACTCCGCAATCATATCACTTCAAATCCAGCTTTACCTCTCAATATGAAATATATCTCAAATACAGTGAAAGTTTGATTGGCTGACTGATTACCTGGAATCCATTTTCTTGTACTTCATGGGCGCGTATGACATGGGAAAGGTTGTTTCGGTCCAGGAAGCTCATTAGAGCGTCGCAGGAGAAGAAGTGGGCGGTACCACGTCGTGTGTTATAGATAAAACCATCATGATCCTGCAAATCCTTCAAAGTATCAGGGGTCAAAAGGTCATTGCTGTAAACAAAATGGTCAAGGGTAATCAGGTTATAAATATCAACACAAAGGTCATAAGGTCATCAGGTTACTGATAACACGAGAGTCCCGATACATGAAATCAGAAGTATGAATTCAGATTATTTGATAAGTTAGCTCAAATTTCATGACAAAAGTTGTTTTTTGTCAATAAGTCATTTTACCAATCAGAGCAGTAAGTATCAAAATAATTTCAGATAAAAATCCCTTGTCACTTTAATTAATATCAATATTTTCCCAATTTTCTTGAATTAGAAACAAGGCATATGAAAACCTTTACTTTCAATACTCACGCATTAACAGCTCAGAAAGAGCGAAATTCCAATCAATTTATTTAGTATACAAAATCGTGAATGATGCAAATTAAAGCTTAGAGGGTGTGATATGGTTATTGCAGAGAATCTCCCAGGCCAGAAGACTGTCTATCTCTGGATCACATACCTGACAGGATCACTCCAGAGAATTTCCCAGGCCACAGGACTGTCTATCTCAGGATCACATACCTGACAGGATCACTCCAGAGAATTTCCCAGGCCACAGGACTGTCTATCTCAGGATCACATACCTGACAGGGTTACTCCAGAGAATCTCCCAGGCCAGAGGACTGTCTATCTCTGGATCACATACCTGACAGGGTTACTCCAGAGAATCTCCAAAGCTAGAGGACTGTCTATCTCTGGATCACATACCTGACAGGGTCACTCCAGAGAATCTCCAAGGCCAGAGGACTGTCTATCTCTTGATCACCTACCTGACAGGGTCACTCCAGAGAATCTCCCAGGCCACAGGACTGTCTATCTCTGGATCACCTACCTGACTGGGTCACTCCAGAGAATCTCCCAGGCCAGAGAACTGTCTATCTCTGGATCACATATCTGACAGGGTTACTCCAGAGAATCTCCCAGGCCACAGGACTGTCTATCTCAGGATCACCTACCTGACAGGGTCACTCCAGAGAATCTCCCAGGCTAGAGGACTGTCTATCTCTGGATCACATATCTGACAGGGTTACTCCAGAGAATCTCCCAGGCTAGAGGACTGTCTATCTCTGGATCACATACCTGACAGGGTTACTCCAGAGAATCTCCCAGGCTAGAGGACTGTCTATCTCTGGATCACATACCTGACAGGGTCACTCCAGAGAATCTCCCAGGCCAGAGGACTGTCCATCTCTGGATCACCTACCTGACAGGGTCACTCCAGAGAATCTCCCAGGCCTGGGGACTGTTTATCTCAGGATCACCTACCTGACAGGGTCACTCCAGAGAATCTCCGAGGTCACAGGACTGTCTATCTCTGGATCACATACCTGACAGGGTCACTCCAAAGAATCTCCCAGGCCAGAGGACTGTCTATCTCTGGATCACCTACCTGACAGGGTTACTCCAGAGAATCTCCCAGGTCACAGGACTGTGTATCTCTGGATCACATACCTGACAGGGTCACTCCAGAGAATCTCCCAGGCCAGAGGACTGTCTATCTCTGGATCATCTACCTGACAAGGTCACTCCAGAGAATCTCCCAGGCCAGAGGACTGTCTATCTCTGGATCACCTACCTGACAGGGTCACTCAAGAGAATCTCCCAGGCCAGAGGATTGTCTAACTCTGGATCACCTACCTGACAAGTTCACTCCAGAGAATCTCCCAGGCCAGAGGACTGTCTATCTCAGGATCACCTACCTGACAGGGTCACTCCAGAGAATCTCCCAGGCCAGAGGACTGTCTATCTCTGGATCACCTACCTGACAGGGTCACTCCAGAGAATCTCCCAGGCCAGAGGACTGTCTATCTCTGGATCACCTACCTGACAGGGTCACTCCAGAAAATCTCCCAGGCCAGAGGACTGTCTATCTCTGGATCACCTACCTGACAGGGTCACTCCAGAGAATCTCCCAGGCCAGAGGACTGTCTATCTCTGGATCACCTACCTGACAGGGTCACTCCAGAGAATCTCCCAGGCCAGAGGACTGTCTATCTCTGGATCTTTTAGAGGTACAGGCACTTTGTTGATCTTTTCTATATATCCCCCATCATTGTCACTGCTGGGAATTCCACCATGTACACAAAACACCTACAATAAATTGATACTTCAGTTAGAGTGGAAGTTCATTACTGTATATATAGTAAATGACTTTTCTACAGTTTCATTAAACTTTAAAAATTTTATCTGAATCACTGGCCTGGATTGTCTATGTAATAGTGTATATCAACTTCTTAAAGGCTACATAATGGGTATGTATGCTGAGCATCATGAAATTACAGGAAACCATTAATTTTGTGAAACACATACTTTTTCGGTTTTTCATAAAAGTTTGAAGAAATCAACACATGCAACATTAGAACCATCAGAAAAGAAAAGGAATACAAACTAACTAATACACCGCCACTTTTCACAAGAAAAAATGAGCAAAAACAAACTTCAAGTAAGTTACACTTTTAACTTTGTATAAGACATAAATGTATATGCTCCAATGCATGTAAGTATCCCTTTAAGAAGAATTTTTAGATGTCTATTGTGACCTTTGACCCTTTACCTTTGTATACAATAGATGCTGTTGATACATCAGAACATGATGATATGATCTGGTAAATTTGAATCAAGTCTGTTGGGAGATGAAATGGCTTAAAGCTAGAATGGATGATGATGGGATACAACATTGATAGAAATTGATGACACATAGGGGGCACCCTAAGGTGGTATAAAAAAGATTTCATTTCACTCTTCTCATTTAACATAACAAGAGAATTGACAGATCTGATGAATGTTACATCAATAAATGCTAGTTCCAAAAGGGACAATTTTGATAGGATTTAAGTGTGAAAAATGACAAAGGGCAATAACTCCTAAATTATGCAAAAGCGAGTAATGGTTCTTATCCATTGCACTTCTCCTTATCAAGATCTATCTAGCTTTGAAGTTTCATGTTGATACCTCTTATAGTTTTTGTGATATTCTCCAGACAAAATTATGATGGACAGATGGACAAATACACAGACACATGGACAGAAAAACGATGGCTAATTGCATCCCAAACTATATGCTCTCCCATCTGAAAGCATAACAACTGAATCATTGCTTAAGATATAACAGGAAATGACTTCATCTTCTGTCAAAATTTGAAGTAACACTCAAATGTCTGATTTACCCGGTCATCCACTGTGGCAGCAATAGGCATCACATCGAAACAATCATTCACTGCTTCCCAGATTTGCAGACCGATTGCATCACCAAACTTTGACAGACATTCCCTACAACAGGAGACATTATCATCATCAAGTCCTACTTGCTGCTCAACTTTTTACAAAAGGAGATTACATCAAACACAAGCGAATGGAGAGTTTGAATGAACACGAAATCTACAAAAAAAATAATTTCAGAAATTTTGTTATTGCCCCATAAACAATTGAAGTAATTTAGAGGCAGGATCTCTTTGTAATAGCCGTCGCTTACATCACTGAACAACTGGGAGGCTTACAGCATTTTCCAGCTTGCTGAGAAACACAAACAGCATCTAGAAACTTTAAGTCTTTTCTGATACTCACGATTTAAAAGAAAACATTTCCTGTACACTTCGTAGTTCATGGTTTCCTCTCAATAGGTAAAATTTACCAGGAGCCAGTAACTTTTGGGCAAACAAGTATGATACCACCTGAAAACAAAACAAGACCTTATCTGAAACACTTCACACAATTATATTTTCTGTGGTTTTTTTCCCACATCACAATCAGCTGATTATGATAAATATCTCATACATGTAATTTCTAATTTTCCAGATGATTTTTTTTGCAGAATATTGGTTCCCAGCCCCTGAGGTTTACTTTTCAAAATTTGCTGATTTTTAGCTTCCAACCCTACAATTTTATGTAAATGTTGTAGGGGTAAATTGTGAAATATACTTAAAAGTATTAAAACTGATAAAACTTTTACTTCCAATACCCCAACCTCCCCCACAATTTGAGTTTTTCGTGTCCCAAACTTTGAGTTTCCCCTGTACCATACATTGACTTCCAATACCCCAACCTCCCCCACAATTTGAGTTCTTCTTCTCCCAAACTGAGTTTCCCTTGCCCCAAACTTTGACTTCCAATACCCCAGCCTACCCTACAATTTCGCTTTTCCATTCCCCTACTTTCCCCAAACACCAAGATCCTCTCCTTAAACGCCTTGTTCCCCTTCTCCAAACTCCCAGATTCCCTGCTCCAAAACATTTATTTTCTTTCCTCCTATACTCCAAGTTATCCTCCCCATCATTAGCAGCTACCTCCTCCCAAACTCTGGAAAACACTTTTACCTTTATGTTTACTTTGTGCATTCCCTCTCCTGCCCTCAATTCTGACTAAAATTGGTGCTTGCCCTTACCTCCACACCGAATTGCTCTCAATCCACGTAGATTCTGACTAAAATTGGTGCTTGCCCTTACCTCCACACCGTATTCCCCTCGATCCACGTAGATTCTGACTAAAATTGGTGCTTGCCCTTACCTCACCACCGTATTCCCCTCGATCCACGTAGATTCTGACTAAAATTGGTGCTTGCCCTTACCTCACCACCGTATTCCCCTCGATCCACGTAGATTCTGACTAAAATTGGTGCTTGCCCTTACCTCACCACCTCCACGTAGATTCTGACTAAAATTGGTGCTTGCCCTTACCTCACCACCGTATTCCCCTCGATCCACGTAGATGACTAAAATTGGTGCTTTCCCTTACCTCCACATCGTATTCCCCTCGATCCACGTAGATTCTGACTAAAATTGGTGCTTGCCCTTACCTCCACACCGTATTCCCCTCGATCCACGTAGATTCTGACTAAAATTGGTGCTTTCCCTTACCTCCACACCTATATGTATCCTATATGTATGTCCCATCTATCTCCCTATATGTATGTCCCATCTATCTCCCTATATGTATGTCCCATCTATCTCCCTATAAAATTATATGTCTCATCTATCTCCCTATATGTATTCCCCTCGATCCACGTAGATTCTGACTAAAATTGGTGCTTGCCCTTACCTCACCACCGTATTCCCCTCGATCCACGTAGATTCTGACTAAAATTGGTGCTTTCCCTTACCTCCACACCGTATTCCCCTCGATCCACGTAGATTCTGACTAAAATTGGTGCTTGCCCTTACCTCACCACCGTATTCCCCTCGATCCACGTAGATTCTGACTAAAATTGGTGCTTTCCCTTACCTCCACATCGTATTCCCCTCGATCCACGTAGATTCTGACTAAAATTGGTGCTTGCCCTTACCTCCACACCGTATTCCCCTCGATCCACGTAGTCGCCGAGGAACAGAAATGAAGCAGGTGTCAGAAGAGGACCCATTCTCCAGAGTGCTTTCTCAAAACAAACCAGATCGCGGTAGTTACCATGGATATCCCCTAAATAAAGATAAATAATGGATTAAAAAATAAGGCATGAAACTCCTCATTCCCATGTATAATACAACCTTGACAAACGATGGCCTTAGAAGTTGAGACAGTATAGGCCATGTATGTATGTCCCATCTATCTCTATATGTATGTCCCAGCTATCTCCTTATATGTTTGTCCCATCTATCTCCCTATATGTATGTCCCATCTATTTCCCTATATGTAAGTCCCATCTACCTCCCTATATGTATGTCCAATCTACCTCCCTATATGTATGTCTCATCTATCTCCCTATAAAATTAAACGTCCTATCTATCTCCCTATATGTATGTCCCATCTATCTCCCTATATGTATGTCCAATCTACCTCCCTATATGTATGTCCCATCTATCTTCCTATATGTATGTCCCATCTATCTCCCTATATGTATGTCCCATCTATCTCCCTATATGTATGTCCCATCTATCTCCCTATATGTATGTCCCATCTATCTCCCTATATGTATGTCCAATCTACCTCCCTATATGTATGTCCCATCTATCTTCCTATATGTATGTCTCATCTATCTCCCTATATGTATGTCCCATCTATCTCCCTATATGTATGTCCCATCTATCTGCCTATATGTATGTCCCATCTATCTCCCTATATGTATGTCCCATCTATCTCCCTATATGTATGTCCCATCTATCTCCCTATATGTATGTCCCATCTATCTCCCTCTATGTATATCCCATCTATCTCCCTATATGTATGTCCCATCTATCTCCCTATATGTATGTCCCATCTATCTCCCTTTTTGTATGTCCCATCTATCTCCCTATATGTATGTCCCATCTATCTCCCTATATGTATGTCCCATCTATCTCCCTATATGTATGTCCCATCTAACTCCCTATATGTATGTCCCATCTATCTCCCTATATGTATGTCCAATCTACCTCCCTATATGTATGCCCATCTATCTTCCTATATGTATGTCCCATCTATCTCCCTATATGGAAGTTTCATCTATCCCCTATATGTATGTCTCATCTATCTCCCTATATGTATGTCTCATCTATCTCCCTATATGTATGTCTCATCTATCTCCCTATATGTATGTCCCATCTATCTCCCTATATGTATGTCCCATCTATCTCCCTATATGAATGTCCCATCTATCTCCCTATATGTATGTCCCATCTATCTCCCTATATGTATGTCCCATCTATCTCCCTATATGTATGTCCCATCTATCTCCCTATAAAATTATATGTCTCATCTATCTCCCTATATGTATGTCCCATCTATCTCCCTATATGTATGTCCCATCTATCTCCCTATATGTATGTCCCATCTATCTCCCTATATGTATGTCCCATCTATCTCCCTATATGTATGTCCCATCTATCTCCCTATATGTATGTCCCATCTCTATCTCCCTATATGTATGTCCCATAAATCTCCCTATATGTATGTCCCATCTATCTCCCTATATGTATGTCCCATCGATCTCCCTATATGTATGTCCCATCTATCTCCCTATATGGATGTCCCATCTATCTCCCTATATGTATGTCCCCTCCCTATATGTATGTCCCATCTATCTCCCTATATGTATGTCCCATCTATCTCCCTATATGAATGTCCCATCTATCTCCCTATATGTATGTCCCATCTATCTCCCTATATGTATGGCCCATCTATCTCCCTATATGTATGTCCCATCTATCTCCCTATATGTATGTCCCATCTATCTCCCTATATGTATGTCCCATCTATCTCCCTATATGTATGTCCCATCTATCTCCCTATATGTTTGTCCCATCTATCTCCCTATATGTAAGCTATCTATCTCCCTATATGTATGTCCCATCTATCTCCCTATATGAATGGCCCATCTATCTCCCTATATGTATGTCCCATCGATCTCCCTATATGTATGTCCCATCTATCTCCCTATATGTATGTCCCATCTATCTCCCTATATGAATGGCCCATCTATCTCCCTATATGTATGTCCCATCGATCTCTCTATATGTATGTCTCATCTATCTCCCTATATGTATGTCTCATCTATCTCCCTATATGTATGTCCCCTCCCTATATGTATGTCCCATCTATCTCCCTATATGTATGTCCCATCTATCTCCCTATATGTATGTCCCATCTATCTCCCTATATGTATGTCCCATCTATCTCCCTATATGTATGTCCCATCTATCTCCCTATATGAATGTCCCATCTATCTCCCTATATGTATGTCCCATCCATCTCCCTATATGTATGTCCCATCTACCTCCCTATATGTATGTCCCATCTATCTCCCTATATGTATGTCCCATCTATCTCCCTATATGAATGTCCCATCTATCTCCCTATATGTATGTCCCATCCATCTCCCTATATGTATGTCCCATCTACCTCCCTATATGTATGTCCCATCTACCTCCCTATATGTATGTCCCATCTATCTCCCTATATGAATGGCCCATCTATCTCCCTATATGTATGTCCCATCGATCTCCCTATATGTATGTCCCATCTATCTGCCTATATGTATGTCCCATCTATCTCCCTATATGTATGTCCCATCTATCTCCCCCCTCCCTATATGTATGTCCCATCTATCTCCCTTTTTGTATGTCCCATCTATCTCCCTATATGTATGTCCCATCTATCTCCCTATATGTATGGCCCATCTATCTCCCTATATGTATGTCCCATCTATCTCCCTATATGTATGTCCCATCTATCTCCCTGTATGTATGTCACATCTATCTCCCTATATGTATGTCCCATCTATCTCCCTATATGTATGTCCCATCTATCTTCCTTTATGTATGTCCCTTCTATCTCCCTATATGTATGTCCCATCTATCTCCCTATATGTATGTCCCATCTATCTCCCTATATGTATGTCCCATCCATCTCCCTATATGTATGTCCCATCTACCTCCCTATATGTATGTCCCATCTACCTCCCTATATGTATGTCCCTTCTATCTCCCTATAAAATTATACATCCCATCTATCTCCCTATATGTATGTCCCATCTATCTCCCTTTATGTATGTCCCATCTATCTCCCTATATGTATGTCCCATCTATCTCCCTATATGTATGTCCCATCTATCTCCCTATATGTATGTCCCATCTATCTCCCTATATGTATGTCCCATCTATCTCCCTATATGTATGTCCCATCTATCTACCTTTATGTAAGTCCCATCTATCTCCCTATATGTATGTCCCATCTATCTCCCTATATGTATGTCCCATCTATCTCCCTATATGTATGTCCCATCTATCTCCCTATATGTATGTCCCATCTATCTCCCTATATGTATGTCCCATCTATCTACCTTTATGTATGTCCCATCTATCTCCCTATATGTATGTCCCATCTATCTCCCTATATGTATGTCCCATCTATCTCCCTTTATGTATGTCCCATCTATCTCCCTATATGTATGTCCCATCTATCTCCCTACATGGATGTCCCATCTATCCCCTGTATGTATGTCCCATCTATCTCCCTATATGTATGTCCCATCTATCTCCCTATATGTATGTCCCATCTATCTCCCTATATGTATGTCCCATCTATCTCCCTTTATGTATGTCCCATCTATCTCCCTATATGTATGTCCCATCTATCTCCCTATAAAATTGTATGTCCCATCTATCCCCTTTATGTATGTCCCATCTATCTCCCTATATGTATGTCCAATCTATCTCCCTATATGTATGTCCCATCTATCTCCCTATATGTATGTCCCATCTATCTTCCTTTTTGTATGTCCCATCTATCTCCCTATATGTATGTCCCATCTATCTCCCTTGATGTATGTCCAATCTATCTCCCTTTATGTATGTCCCATCTATCTCCCTATATGTTTGTCCCATCTATCTCCCTATATGTAAGCTATCTATCTCCCTATATGTATGTCCCATCTATCTCCCTATATGTATGTCCCATCTATCTCCCTGTATGTATATCCCATCTATCTCCCTTTATGGATGTCCCATCTATCTCCCTATATGGATGTCCCATCTATCTCCCTATATGTATGTCCCATCTTTCTCCCTTTATTTATGTCCCATCTATCTCCCTTTATGTATGTCCCATCTATCTCCCTATAAAATTATATGCCTCATCTATCTCCCTATATGTATGTCCCATCTATCTCCCTATAAAATTGTATGTCCCATCTATCCCCTTTATGTATGTCCCATCTACCTCCCTATATGTATGTCCCATCTATCTCCCTATATGTATGTCCCATCTATCTCCCTATATGTATGTCTCATCCATCTCCCTATATCTATGTCCCATCTATCTCCCTATATGGAAGTCCCATCTATCTCCCTATATGTTTGTCCCATCTATCTCCCTATATGTATGTATCACCACCAGAGGTCCCAACGAATACAGGCCTTCTGAGTGGGAAGCTGCCCCACCAGAAAGCTGCAGACATGAACTCATGAAAAGAAGACCCATTCAGAAGGGCCCAGGATGCAGCGAGGGCCCTGACCTCATGAGCCCGCACTTTCACTCTCGCCCGAGCCTGATCATCAGAATACTAGTAAGCATACTTAATCACCAGGCAGTCCCACCTGGAAACCGACTGGGAGGAGATATCTCGTTGTCCCTGTTTGATGGGAAAAAAAACCAGACAGGATCGAGAGCCTCCCTCTACTGTGGGGCCAGCTGCTGAATGATGGGTCTATCCAGAGCGAAGCCTCTGATTAGGGCAGAAAGAGAGGAGGACAAAACTATCTCTTTCCTTCCCTAAAACGCAAGGGCACCGGCAATAGCTGTACGATAGCCAACAATAGTGCCAGGTGCCAGATTGCAGTCCCTAAACAGAGAGAATAGGAAATCCGCAATCAACTGCACAGAGGCATCAAACTGATCAACCTCCCTGCTGACACACCAATCAAAGAAGATCACGCGATGCGATCTGACACCTCTCGAGAAAAGCCTGCCGTGGCGAGGCTTCCTGAGATAGCCTCCACGCGTGAAAGTGCAGGATCTCTGGTGGAGAGTGTGTCGTTCTGGACAGAGGCTGGCGAAGGAGATTCAGTCGGGTGGGGAGAGCCAAGGGCTCCTCAACCAGAAATGACAAGAGCTCCAGAAACCAAGGTTGCCTCGGCCACAGAGGGGCTATCAGAGGTAAGGAGCAGTGATGCTCCAGGGTTTTCTGTAGCACCCTGCCCACCAGATTGAAGGGAGATAATGCATATGCATACATCCCATCCCAGTCCAGAGAAAGGGCGTCCACAGCACAAGCCTTTTGGGTGGGACCGGGGAGATGAAGGTTGGCAGCTGGTTGTACAGGGAAGTGGCAAACAGGTCTACAAGAGGTCTGTCCCACACCTGACACCTGTCCCACACCTGCCAAAAGAACAGCCCTTATCTCGAGTACATTGATGTGCTCCGAGAGCTGTTTGCCAGACTACTCCCCCGAGTGGCATTGGCCGTTGAGGTAAGCTCCCCATCCTGTCAAGGACGCATCCATGAACAGTGTCATAGAGGGGACGGGCTTGGTCAGAGCACCCTGCGGAGTTCTCCTGAATGGTCTACCATCGAGCGAACTCCCTGACCGACTGGCTAAGCGGAATCCAGGCCTCCCACTTCCTGGATGACAGAACCCAGTTGGACAGGAGGAACATCTGGAGAGGTCTGATGTGAAGCCTCCCTAGGGGGACCACATCTGCCAGGGAGTTGAGATACCCCAGAAAACAGAGGAGCCAACGTACCTGGACATGCGACCAGGCAATGAAGGTCAGAGCCAGAGCCAGAGCCCTAGCCTTCTCGAACTTCTCCAGAGATGGAAAGGCTAAGCCCCGAACAGTGTGGAAACGGTTCCCCAGGAAGACGAAGTCCTGAGATGGGGAAACCTCTGACTTCTCTCTGGAAGGAATGAAGCCGAATCTGAGCAAGAGTTTCAGGACCAGATGAGTGTCCTTCACTAGCGATTCCATGAGCATGAGGGAGTTGTCGAAATAGATGTGGACGTCTATTCTGCGTGAGTGAAGGAATCCCACGACCACCTGCAGCAACTTGATGAACACCAAAGGAGCTGTCGTGAGCCGGAAGGGCATGGCCCATAATTGGAAGACCCTGCCGTTGCACGGAGGAACTTCCGTGCTGACTTCTTGATGGGGATATGGAAGTTGGCATCCTTCAGATCTACTGAAGTTACCCACATTCCGTCCCTCACAGAGGCTATCATGCCCCGTGGGGTCTCCATCTTGAAGTGAGGAGAATCTACGTGCCTGTTGAAGGCACTGAGATCTATGATCGGACGCCACGCCCCGGATTTCTTCTGAACCAGAAACATTCTGGAGTAGACATAGGCACCTCCTCTACCGCGCCCTTGGCCAGCATTGTCCCTACTTCCTCCTGGAGCGCCCGAGGCTTTTCCTCATCCTCCGGAGGGGGAAAGAAAATCTGCTGGACCAGTCTCGAAGGAGGAGGATACCTAACCCTCTCTGACCACTGACCACTTTCAATACTGAAAACCGCCTGGCCAACATGACGTTGGAGAGCAAGGAGACCTGCAAGCCCGCCGATACTCTCAAAGCCATGTTCAGGGCCGAGGTGATTCTGTCCTGTACAAACCTCCGCCCCGAAAATCCGGGAGACATCAGCCCAGAGGGCCCGCATCCCAGAGAGAGCATGCTGAGCCTCAGCTTCAGCAGCCTTGGGGCCATCTTCCCCCTGGGAACCCTCCTCACTGGTAGGGTCATCATCAGACAACTCGGATGGGTCAATATCCGAGCACCCAGGAGAAAGATGAACAACATCGTCTAACTCTGCCATACCTGCGCCCTCAAAATCTCCTCCTCGATAGGGACCGAAGTCTCTCTGGGAGGAACTTCAGAAAGTGAGGCTCTTCCATATGGTGAGGCTGTAGGCTTGGGTCTAAGACTCGAAGCCGACCCCTGGAACTCGGAGACCAACTTGTCCACGTGGGAGGCAGAAGTCCTAAAGGTCCGGCAAACCTTCTTAAGACCGGCCGACAAGGCCCCTGAAGTAGCAGAACATTGGGGGGACTTCATACTGCTTAACCATCTCCTAACGGAGAGACCAACCCACACGGATTCCATGAGGGAAAACCCATAGGGTTAAACCCAAACATCTGAGGGAATGGGAATGGTCCCATGGGCTGGGAGTGACCCCAGAACTGGCCATCACGGCCTGTCTGAGTCTGGGGCTGGCCACCCTGTACGAAAAACATGAATGGACTGCCACTCCCACCAGGTGGACACCCAGATATGTACGGGCTAGGCCCTTAACTGCTGGGATACTGCTGGTACCCAGAACCATCTGCAGCCTTGCCTGGGCGGCCCAGGGTTGAATGCCTGCAGGCACCCGTATACCCAGAACCCCGGGGAAAAGGTGACCGGAAACCGGATGCCTGGCCAGAAAAGCTAACCCCTTGGGGGAAACTTCCTGGGTAGCCTTGCACAGGGAACTCTGGACTGGACCGGTACTGACCAGAACCAGCAAGCAACCTGTGAGGGCGGAAGAAAGGCCCCGCACTGACACAAGGATTAGTAAACTGCCAGAGTCATTAATCCCCGTAGCCACAGACAACCCTGACAAGAAATCTGTGGCCCCAGAACCAGCACTCGAAAGTACAGGTCCAGAGTCAAGGTGGCTCCCATCAACAACACCACCTGGCGCGCCGGGATCACTGAATGAATCAGTGGCCGGCGGTCGGAAGTCCCTACCCGACGGTAACGCCATCAGCAGCCAGGAGCTGCCGGCCAATTCGGAGATTGGTTTATAGACCACTAATAGAGTAACAATATACTCAAACAACAACAGCAGTACAAAGAGAAAGAGTAAGAAAAGCTCTCAGCTCATACACCTCGGCACTCGTTGGCATAAAGGTAAGAGGAAGGGAGATCACTCTATGTTCCTGCTGTGATGGCTTATGGATCGTAGGGAGGGTGGGGATTGTTGGAATCTTTTATTGTTGGGATACAAAGATGGGTGTAGCTACTGTCTTTGCATACTAAAGTTATGGTAATTATTACTGAAATGAAAATCTGAATTTTAGGAGTGTGACTGTAGATGTTCGAACTTTGCAAACATGTACATAATGAATTCCGATCTTCATTCATTACCCAAGATGTAGACAGGTGATTTTAATTTGATTAAACGTGGCTCGCTACTCAGAGTATCCTTGACCTGACGACACAATGTCAACAAACATTTGGCAAGTGCGCCTCTCTCCACTTGACCCCAGTCGTGTTGACCCTGAAAGCATAACAAAACCTAAAATTAATATTAGAAATATTACATGTGTATGGAACAGCAGGGAACTGATGACAGCAACACTGTGTGCAGCTGCTTCCTCAAACAGTTTTACTGGCATAGCCCCAAAATGACCTCTATAATATAAGTTGTATAAAAAATGTTTTGTAAATCCTTTTTAGAGGTGATAAAATTTAAGAAAAAATTGAGAGAATTTGTCAAATGTCCTTAAGCCTGATATAATTATGCAGTCCACAATATACCATTCAATACATCCTTCAATCAATCATTTAAAGAGACCAATCTTTTCTTCAAAATTTGTTTGCCTTCCTCTGAGGATGGCGCTGACAAAATTTGGTCAAAATTGACTCATTCATGCATAAGTGATAATGATTCAAAGTAAAAGTTGACAGATGGCTGGGCATCCGAACAAATGCTGTGGTATGCCAAAGGGACAATCATCTAAAAACAAAGTAAAATAATCAGGGATTTTCCAGGAAAAGAGGTGATGTTTTGTGTGTGTTATCAGGGATTTTCCAGGAGAAGAGGTGATGTTTTGTGTGTGTTATCATGTATTTTCCAGGAGAAGAGGTGATGTTTTGTGTGTGTTATTAGGGACTTTCTGGGAGAAGAGGTGATGTTTTGTGTGTGTTATCAGGGATTTTCCAGGAGAAGAGGTGATGTTTTGTGTGTGTTATCAGGTATTTTCCAGGAGAAGAGGTGATGTTTTGTGTGTGTTATTAGGGACTTTCTGGGAGAAGAGGTGATGTTTTGTGTGTGTTATCAGGGATTTTCCAGGAGAAGAGGTGATGTTTTGTGTGTGTTATCAGGGATTTTCCAGGAGAAGAGGTGATGTTTTGTGTGTGTTATTAGGGACTTTCTGGGAGAAGAGGTGATGTTTTGTGTGTGTTATCAGGGATTTTCCAGGAGAAGAGGTGATGTTTTGTGTGTGTTATCAGGGATTTTCCAGGAGAAGAGGTGATGTTTTGTGTGTGTTATTAGGGACTTTCTGGGAGAAGAGGTGATGTTTTGTGTGTGTTATCAGGGATTTTCTGGGAGAAGAGGTGATGTTTTGTACGTGCTATCAGGGATTTTCTGGGAGAAGAGGTGATGTTTTGTGTGTGCTATCAGGGATTTTCTGGGAGAAGATGTGGTGTTTTGTGTGTGTTATCAGGGATTTTCCAGGAGAAGAGGTGATGTTTTGTACGTGTTATCAGGGATTTTCCAGGAGAAGAGGTGATGTTTTGTGTGTGTTATCAGGGATTTTCTGGGAGAAGAGGTGATATTTTGTAAGTGTTATCAGGGATTTTCTGGGAGAAGAGGTGATGTTTTGTGTGTGTTATCAGGGATTTTCTGGGAGAAGAGGTGGTGTTTTGTGTGTGTTATCAGGGATTTTCCAGGAGAAGAGGCGGTGTTTTGTGTGTGTTATCAGGGATTTTCTGGGAGAAGAGGTGATGTTTTGTGTGTGTTATTAGGGACTTTCTGGGAGAAGAGGTGATGTTTTGTGTGTGTTATCAGGGATTTTCTGGGAGAAGAGGTGATGTTTTGTTAGTGCTATCAGGGATTTTCTGGGAGAAGAGGTGATGTTTTGTGTGTGCTATCAGGGATTTTCTGGGAGAAGATGTGGTGTTTTGTGTGTGTTATCAGGGATTTTCCAGGAGAAGAGGTGATGTTTTGTACGTGTTATCAGGGATTTTCTGGGAGAAGAGGTGATGTTTTGTGTGTGTTATCAGGGATTTTCCAGGAGAAGAGGTGATGTTTTGTACGTGTTATCAGGGATTTTCTGGGAGAAGAGGTGATGTTTTGTGTGTGTTATTAGGGATTTTCTGGGAGAAGAGGTGATGTTTTGTGTGTGTTATCAGGGATTTTCTGGGAGAAGAGGTGATGTTTTGTGTGTGTTATCAGGGACTTTCTGGGAGAAGAGGTGATGTTTTGTGTGTGTTATCAGGGATTTTCCAGGAGAAGAGGTGATGTTTTGTGTGTGTTATCAAGGATTTTCTGGGAGAAGAGGTGATGTTTTGTGTGTGTTATCAGGGATTTTCCAGGAGAAGAGGTGATGTTTTGTGTGTGTTATTAGGGACTTTCTGGGAGAAGAGGTGATGTTTTGTGTGTGTTATCAGGGATTTTCTGGGAGAAGAGGTGATGTTTTGTATGTGCTATCAGGGATTTTCTGGGAGAAGAGGTGATGTTTTGTACGTGCTATCAGGGATTTTCTGGGAGAAGATGTGGTGTTTTGTGTGTGTTATCAGGGATTTTCCAGGAGAAGAGGTGATGTTTTGTACGTGTTATCAGGGATTTTCCAGGAGAAGAGGTGATGTTTTGTAAGTGTTATCAGGGATTTTCTGGGAGAAGAGGTGATGTTTTGTGTGTGTTATCAGGGATTTTCTGGGAGAAGAGGTGATGTTTTGTAAGTGTTATCAGGGATTTTCTGGGAGAAGAGGTGATGTTTTGTGTGTGTTATCAGGGATTTTCCAGGAGAAGAGGTGATGTTTTGTGTGTGTTATCAGGGATTTTCTGGGAGAAGAGGTGATGTTTTGTGTGTGTTATCAGGGATTTTCCAGGAGAAGAGGTGATGTTTTGTGTGTGTTATCAGGGATTTTCTGGGAGAAGAGGTGATGTTTTGTGTGTGTTATCAGGGATTTTCTGGGAGAAGAGGTGATGTTTTGTGTGTGTTATCAGGGATTTTCTGGGAGAAGAGGTGATGTTTTGTAAGTGTTATCAGGGATTTTCTGGGAGAAGAGGTGATGTTTTGTGTGTGTTATCAGGGATTTTCTGGGAGAAGAGGTGGTGTTTTGTGTGTGTTATCAGGGATTTTCCAGGAGAAGAGGCGGTGTTTTGTGTGTGTTATCAGGGATTTTCTGGGAGAAGAGGTGATGTTTTGTGTGTGTTATTAGGGACTTTCTGGGAGAAGAGGTGATGTTTTGTGTGTGTTATCAGGGATTTTCTGGGAGAAGAGGTGATGTTTTGTGTGTGCTATCAGGGATTTTCTGGGAGAAGATGTGGTGTTTTGTGTGTGTTATCAGGGATTTTCCAGGAGAAGAGGTGATGTTTTGTACGTGTTATCAGGGATTTTCCAGGAGAAGAGGTGATGTTTTGTGTGTGTTATCAGGGATTTTCTGGGAGAAGAGGTGATGTTTTGTGTGTGTTATTAGGGATTTTCTGGGAGAAGAGGTGATGTTTTGTGTGTGTTATCAGGGATTTTCTGGGAGAAGAGGTGATGTTTTGTGTGTGTTATCAGGGATTTTCTGGGAAACAGGTGATGTTTTGTGTGTGTTATCAGGGATTTTCTAACATGGATCTGGATGGATGAGATGTAGGAGTAACCAGGTACTCTACCATAGATCTGGATGTAGGAGTAACCAGGTACTCTAACATAGATCTGGATGGAGGAGTAACCAGGTACTCTAAAAGGGATGACGTTGGAGGAGTAACCAAGTAACATGTATCTGGATGGAGGAGTAACCAGGTACTCTAACATGGATCTGGATGGAGGAGTAACCAGGTACTCTAACATGGATCTGGATGGAGGAGTAACCGGAGGTAGGAGTAACCAGGTACTCTAACATGGATCTGGATGGAGGAGTAACCAGGTACTCTAACATGGATCTGGATGGAGGAGTAACCAGGTACTCTAACATGGATCTGGATGGAGGAGTAACCAGGTACTCTAACATGGATCTGGATGGAGGAGTAACCAGGTACTCAAACATGGATATGTTTGGAGGAGAAACCAGATACTCTAACATGGATGAGGTTTGAGGAGTAACCAGGTACTCTAACATGGATCCGGATAGAGGAGTAACCAGGTACTCTAACCTGGATCTGGATGGAGGAGTAACCAGGTACTCTAACATGGATCTGGATGGAGGAGTAACCAGGTACTCTAACATGGATGAGGCTGGAGGAGTAACCAGGTACTCTACTATGGATGGAGGAGTAACCAGGTACTCTAAAAGGGATGATGTTGGAGGAGTAACCAAGTAACATGTATCTGAATGGAGGAGTAACCATGTACTCTAACATGGATCTGGATGGAGGAGTAACCAGGTACTCTAACATGGATCTGGATGGAGGAGTAACCAGAGGTGTGACAAGGTTTTCTAACATGGATCTGGATGGAGGAGTAACCAGGTACTCAAACATGGATGAGGTTGGAGGAGTAACCAGGTACTCAAATATGGATGAGGATGGAGGAGTAACCAGGTACTCTAACATGGATGAGGATGGAGGAGTAACCAGGTACTCTAACATGGATCTGGATGGAGGAGTAACCAGGTACTCTACCATGGATCTGGATGGAGGAGTAACCAGGTACTCTACCATGGATCTGGATGGAGGAGTAACCAGGTACTCTAACATGGATCTGGATGGAGGAGTAACCAGGTACTCTAACATGGATCTGGATGGAGGAGTAACCAGGTACTCTAACATGGATCTGGATGGAGGAGTAACCAGGTACTCTAACATGGATCTGGATGGAGGAGTAACCAGGTACTCTAACATGGATGAATCAGGAGGAGTAACAAGGTACTCTAACATGGATATGAATGGAAGAGTAACCAGGTATTCTTACATGTATCTGGATGGAGGAGTAACCAGGTAACATGGATCTGGATGGAGGAGGTACTCTAACATGGATGGATGGAGGAGTAACCAGGTACTCAAATATGGATGAGGATGGAGGAGTAACCAGGTACTCTAACATGGATCCGGATGTAGGAGTAACCAGGTTTTCTAACATGGATCTGGATGGAGGAGTAACCAGGTACTCTAACATGGATCTGGATGGAGGAGTAACCAGGTACTCTAACATGTATCTGGATGGAGGAGTAACAAGGTACTCTAACATGGATCTGGATGGAGGAGTAACCAGGTACTCTAACATGGATCTGGATGGAGGAGTAACCAGGTACTCTAACATGGATCTGGATGGAGGAGTAACCAGGTACTCAAATATGGATGAGGATGGAGGTGTAACCAGGTACTCTAACATGGATGAGGTT